CGGGGCACCTGTCGATCTCATTATTGATCCCACTATCGATATCATTTTTTTGGACACCACGGGACAGGGCACCACATCGATCTCGGTATCGATCTAACTATCGATTTCATTCAACGCGACACCACGGGACACCACGGGACACGTGTCGATCTCATTATCGATTTCACTATCGATCTCACTTTTTGGGACACCACGGGACACCTCGGGGCACCACATCGATCTCAGTATCGATCTCATTATCGATCTCACTATCGATCTTACTATCGATCTCACTGAACGGGACACCACGGGACACCGCGGGACACCGCTAGGGCCACCGGCGGACGGACGGACGGACCGGGGATAATCATTTATCTTGACTTCGCCCTAGCGGACACCGCGGGACAGCGCTAGGGCCACCGCCGGACGGGCGGACGGAGGAGAATCATTTGTCGCGACTTCGCCCTAGCAACGGCGTACACCACGAGACACCACGGGACACCGCGGGACACCGCTAGGGCCACCGCCGGACGGACGGACGGAGGAGAAACATTTGTCTTGACTTCACCCTAGCAGCGGCGGGTTCATTCCTCCCGCGCGCCCACGCAGCTTTGCCTCGCCCGCACGCACGGCACGAACGAAGCCAAACGATTTCCCGGTTGGGGGTCTCCGTTCCACTGCGATCTCACCCCCCAACCTCCGATTCTTTTTCTTGGCATTTGCATGCGGAAGGGTTTCAAGGCTGGGGTCTGATTTGGAATTCGTGTGGCTCCGCTCGGTATCCAGATCTTGAGTGCACGGGTGACTCTCGGATGAAGCCGTGCTGCGTCTTTGGAGCTTGCAGCGGGTGCAGCTTCTCGCATCCCGCCGCAGCTCGTGCTCATTGTTGTTGGGTCCTCGGTGGTATCGCCGCTTGCGTCACCGTCGCTTGCTTTGATTTGGATCATGCTGCGGCTGTTGGTCAGGTCGTGCTTGCCTTCTCGGCTGTCGTTTGTGACGTGTAGCATTTGTCTTGCCGTGGCGATGGCCGTGCTCGTGGATCTCGGTCTGGTTGGGGGCTTGTCATCTTATAGTAACGGTTTGGGAGACTCACTGGCTGACGCTGCACCGCCGACCCCTTGGGGCGGCAGAAAGAGTGAAAAACGGAGTTTGCGGAACGCGCGCGATTTCTGGGATTTCAGCTTCTTGGGATTTCGTCGGGCGTCGGGGGCGGTTGGCGGATTCCGGCTCTGCTCTTAGGCTTCTCTGAGCTCGCTTGGCAGCACTGTTCGAGCTTCTTGGGACCCGTGTTGAGGCCTCCAGGGGCCTCTTTTGGGCCTCTCGGGGCCTCATGGGAGCCTCTTGGGGGCCTCGTGGCGCCTCCTCCGGTTTTTTCGGGGCCGAGTGCCCGAAATGCCCACTCGGGTTCCCCAATTGGGCCTCTTCTTGGGGTCGTCCTGGGCCCTCCTGGGCCGTTTTGGAGGCTTCTGGGGCCGTCTTGGGGCCCTCTTGGGCTGTCTTGGAGCCCTCTTGGAGGCCTCTTGGGCTATCTTGGGTCGATCTTGAAGGCTTCCTGGGCCGTTGTGGGCCTCGTGAAGGCCCAGAGGCGAATGTGCTGAAAAATCTAAGCGCTTCGCGTATCCCCACAATCTAAGTTTTGTGCTTGTCTTTAGCTTGTGGCACGGCCTGCCCCTGCTTGCACGGCGTTCGACTCGTTTCGCGCGCCAACGTACCCAGTCAGTCTGTGTTACCCGTCCGACTCCCTGGATCGTTGTTCTCGGGAACTCCTGTGCTGAACGGCCTTCCGCCGTGACCCTGGGTCGAAGTGGTTCTGAGGGATGCGTCTTGGGTGTTCGAATGTCTCGTCCCTCGGGTGCTATCCGACTCGTTCTGGGTAGCACTGAGACACTTTGGATGTGCACACGCCGCGTTGTCGACCGTGTATCGTGCACTACGGCGCCCTTCCACTCGTTGGATCTGGGCTGACGCATCTCAGTTGTGGAAGGTTCTCCTGTCAGCATGCTCCACACCCTGGATGCGCGTTCTGGCGTCGCGACTTGGTGTCGCCGTCAGGATTTTCCGCTGGACGTATGTCCCCAGTCAGTCTGTGTTACCTGTCAGACTCCCTGGATCGGTGTCCTCGGGAACGTTCCTTTCTGTTCGCATCCGGACTTCTGGGAACGCCTCACGCGCCATTTTGGCTGCGCTTGGTCTCCTCGTTGCCTGTCCTTTGGCTCGTTGGATGTACCGTTGCATGCCCGTCCTGGGGCTGTCTCAGACTCCCTGGATTGCACGTCGGTGCCGCCCTGGGCGCTGCCGCCCCCCGCCCCCCGCCGCCTGAGCCGCGCCGCGCGCGCTTGGGAATTCAGCCACGGCCGCGGCCCGACCGTGACTGCCCGCCGCTGGCGCTTCCGCCTGCGGCCGTAAAACAAAAAGTATCCCCACAGTCTAAGTTTCGTGCTTTTCTTTAGCTTGTGGCACGGCCTGCCCCTGCTTGCACGGCGTTCGACTCGTTTCGCGCGCCAACGTACCCAAAAGTATCCCCACCAGCCAATCCAGAAACGATGTCCAGGCCAGTTGAGATGATCAGGGAAGCGCGGGAGCAAGGAGGGGGACGGCCGAACCGTGCGAAGGAGGAAGGATGAGAAGGAGGAGGCTGGATGGATGGATGAGGGAGTGGGGAGGAGGAGGAATAGGAGGAGGAGGAAGAAGAGGAGGAGGAGGAGGAAGAGGTGGAGGAGGAGGACAGGAGGAGGAAGAGGAGGAGGAGGAGGAGGAGGAGGAGGAGGAGGAGGGAGAGAAGCAGTAGGAGGAGGAAGGAAGAGCAGGAGGAGGAGGGTAAGCAAAAGGGGCAGAGGTCTCTTGGATGCCTCTCGGAGCCTCTTGGGATATCTCTTTGGCGCTTCTTGGTGGCCTCTTGGGACGTCTTTGGGGTATCTTGGCGGTCCTGGGGGGCTCTTGGGCGTCTTGGGTGCCTCGGGGGGGCCTCTTGGGGCCGCTTGGGTTCCTCTTGGGGGCCTCCTGGAGGCCTCTTGGGGGCCTCTTTGTGCCATCTTGGGGCCATCTTGGGGCCTCTTGGGGCCTCCTGGGCGCTTCTTGGGGCCATCTTGGAGGATATCTACCAAAGAAGAGGGGATTTTGTTTTAGCCCTGCCCCCCCAAGAGGCCAAAATGGGGCCCAAACCCTAGTAAAACCAATGATTTTGGCTTCCTCGCCGAGGCCGGGTTGGGCGCTCTAGCTACCCGCGACCGGTCCCGTCCAGGTCCAGGGGAGGGGGGAGGGGGGAGGGGTCAAGACGCCATCCCCGCCCGCAAGCCGTCTCGCTCATCCCCACCCGCCCTCCCAACACATACGTAACACCCGAGCCGCAGCATATTCAACAGTCGTCTTTGGATGGGCAGCTACTGGGGGCCAATCCGCCGCCGCCGCCGCCGCCGCCTCCGCCGCCGCCGCCCGCCGCCGCCGCCCCCCCCCCCGCCGCCGCCGCCGCCACCGCCGCCGCCGCCGCCGCCGCCACCGCCGCTGCCTCCGCCGCAGCCGCCGCCGCCGCCGCCAAGTGTATTCTGTATTGTTTTTTGACAGGGATGGTGGGGGGAGGCCGCATCGGGTTCGCTGCGCATGCTCAAAATTAGGAGACAGAGTGTGTTTTGTGTTGTTTTGTTGCAAGGGATGGGGGGGGGGTGCCCTCATTGACTCGGGTTGGCTGCCAGTCGCCTGGGGGAGGGGGTGTATATTAATAGGGAACAGTGATAAACCCTTCCCCGAAGGGGAAGGGGGGGGGGAAGAGGAAACTCCCTAAACCACCTACGTCCAGAGGGCTGGTGATATATATATATATATATACATATATACATATATATATATATATATATATATAGATGCTTTCCCTACGGGATGGGACGATGTTTGCTTCTGGAGTGCCTCTTGGGATGCCTCTTGGTGGCTTGTTGGGGCGTCTTGGCGGCCTCTGGGGCCGTCTGGAGGCAATCTTGGGCGTCTTCGAGCAATATTTCAGCTTCTGGGTCTTGGTCCGTTTTGGGGCCCCCTAAGGCTCCAAGGGTGCGACCAGCACTTTTGCCCCCCCCCCCCCCCCTCTCTCACCCCCCTCCAAACCGGCCGGACGGCGCTCCCGGGGAGGGGTTTGGGGAGAGGGAAGCATCTCATACGCCGTGACTCCTAAGGGTCGGCGGATTCCGATTGCGCCCGTCCTGGTGTTCCGGTGTCGTGCCTTCCTGGTTTGCTCCTCTCTGGGTGGAAGCTGTCCGTTGGCATCAGGCGGTCGCCAGTGTTCTTCCTTCCGCTTGCTGGTGATCCGAAGGGTTACCAACGGGGGTTCAGGTTGGTGAGGGTGACGACTTGTTTGTGGATGCGTTTGGCAACCTTGTTCTCGTCGTTGGCATCGATCGATTCGTGGTTAGGTTGCTCTGCTGGTATCGTGTTGCTTGAGCTTGTGCTCTGGGGCTTGAAGGGGTAGGCTGGCGCGTGAGGGTTGTTGAGCATGTCGTCGGCATTGGTAGAACACCTTCTGGGTCGGCCTCCTTCCACGTCTTGGATGTCTCCTTGATCACACTGACATCGTCATGTTGTGACACTTGGAGTTGAATTGGACCTGGTAGAGTCGTTGGTGCCATGGTGGGCTCGACGGTCGGCTCCTCCTGAAGGTTGGCGTACATTTCGTTGAGTAGTTCTGTCCGCTTATTAGCTATTTCTCCTCCTCCTCCTCCTCCTCCTCCTCCTCCTTATCGTCATCATCATCATCATCATCATCATCATCATCATCATCATCATCATCATCATCATCATCATCACCATCATCATCATCATCAGCATCAGCATCAGCATCAGCATCAGCATCATCATCATTATCATCATCATCATCAACATCATCATCATCATCATCATCATCATCATCATCATCATCATCATCATCGTCGTCTCCTTCCTCCTCCCTCCTCGTGCTCCTCCTTCTCGCACTCCTCCTCTCCTTTCTCTCCCCACTGGCTTCAGGCCGCTGTCCTGCCCCCTCCCTCTGGCGCCCAGAGGATGTCGAATACAGGTGGCAGGCCGTCGCCCCAAAGGTCTACGCGATCCTCGATTCGGTGCAGTCCCTCGCGCACTTGCCGCGCTTCCGCCGTTGGGAGCTGGCCCGCATCCAGGAGTGCCTGGAGAAGGACATTTGGCACCGGGGGCTCGAACAGCTGCGCCTCGCGGCCCTCCACTCGCCTTCGCCCTCGTCCCCTTTCGCTTCTTTCCTCCTCCCCCTCCTGCCTCTTCGCCCCTCCCTCCTACCTCGCCCCTTCCTGTCTCGCTCCATGTTGCTTCTCACCCTCTCGCTCCTTGCTGCTTGCTCCTCGCATCTCCGCCCTCCCACCCTCCTCCCTCCCGCCTCCCTCCCTCCTCCCTCCCTCCCGCCTCCCCCTCGTGCCTCCTCAGACCCCCGACGTCATGATTTTTCCATGACGTCGCCCCCCCAGAGTTCTCGACCCATTTCCCTAGACCGGCGTTTCATTCTGCGCAGATGTTTGACGGTTTCCCTGGCCAGTCGAGGGCCCCCTGAGGCCGAAAATCGTTGAAAACCGTCCGTCGCGATTTCTTCGTGACCCGAGGGGGTCTGGCGTCTGGCTCCGCGGCCATTGCGGCCCAAGCCTAGCAGCTTCGGCGCCGCCCGCCTCCGCACGAGCACCCCCTCCCTCCTTCCTTCCTTCCTTCCTTCCTCCCCCCTCCCTCTTGGTGCTGATCTTTTCGTTCGATCTCTAGCTGCCGCCCCAGGTCGCAAGGTTTCGGGCGCCGTACCAGGTACGGCGAACCTCCTTCGGGGCGGCCAGAGACGCGTGCAGGACCTGCCCGCGCATCGGACAAGCTAGGCAGTTTCACCTTCCCCACTTTCCCTGGGTATAGGTTTGTTGGCGGGGACGTAGTTCGCACTGCGGCGATGAGGTGGGCATGGGACAGGTCGAGGTGCGAAAATCGTGCACTCCAGCTGGCCCTGCCTCGCACACGCCCGCGCAGCTGCCCTTTAGGCCTTTTGCAGGCTATCTCACCTGCTCCCCTCTTTGATCAGCCTCCTCTTGCCTTTTCCCTACCCCTTTTGCGTTGCAGTGCGCCTTGAGCGCCTTCCGACGATATGGGGGTGGTACGGGCTAGGTGACGGGGGCGGGGAGATTCACCAAACCTTGGGGCCCGTACTGCTAGATACTGCGTGTTTCTGCCAGCGGCTGGCGAGTGCCGCACCAAGTTGACCGTCTCCTCGGCGAATCAGAGCGCAATCCCAAATTCCTTCTCTTCCCTTGAGCCTCCCTATTCGCTCCTCCCTCTTGCTGCGGCTCCGGGGGTCCCGAGTTGCTTTTCTGTCGCCTGGGATGGTGGCAAGCAGTCGTTGCCGAACCCGACCGCCATGCCCAGTGCCTCTCTGCCGCGCTCGGTGAGTGTAAGTTCGACCCACGGCGACCGAGTCCGAGCCCAGCGCCCCCGTCACCGACCTCGGTCTCCTCAGCGACGATCCCGCCGTTCAACCGTGGGCCCGGAACTTTGGCGAAGATCTCGAGGTGTTGCTGGCGCGCCATACGGCCTCCGATTTGCGCGCGCTCCGGGGCCGGCCAACCGCCGCTTGCCTGTTCCGCGACCCGTCGATGAGCGAGAGATTTTGGTATTGCGATATGCGGGAATTGCGCGCCACGTTCGTAGCCAAGGAATGGGCCCCACCCGAGGCCCTTGCCATCACCGCCCACCCTCCTGCGTCCATTTCGATCGGCGTAAACTCCGACGACGAAGACACGTTGCTCATCTGCGGGATCGGGGGGCGTGAGCAACGATTCACCGACATCCATACATCGACGATCCATTGGGTTCATTCGAAAGCCCTGGAGCACGCATGGCCGCCGATCCCCACGACGATCACCGTCGACAACAAGCGCCTGATGCTCAGCGCCATCTTTCCGAACGCGGGGCACGCCAGTCGGCGCCACTGCAGGTCATTTTTGCAAAGGCGGCGTGCCATATGATGTTGGCGATGGGAGAACTGATAGTGCAAACGAGCCGCAGAGCCAGGCTCGCGCTCGCAACGACGGTCGGCGCGGCTACAGCCCCGACCACCGACTCGCTCGCGGTGGCTCTCTCCGACGAACTGGACCTCTTCAAGCAGAGAACTGTAGGAGCTGAGACATGGCGAGGAGACGCAGAAGCACAAACTCAAGACTCTGGGCTCGCCCGCGGCCTCGCTCGTCATGGCCGGCGTGAAAGCGCCCCTCCTCTGCGACATCGGGTGCGGCAACAAGCGGACGCTGCAGGTGTGGCTCGCCAAGGCCGCTGCAGACCCCCTGCGGATCCCATGGAGGATCACCACGTCTCGAAGACGGACATCGAGGACGCAGCGGCGTTCGTGACGCTCGAGAAATGCCGCGACACCAGGTGCAGCAAGGTTATATACGCTATGAAGACTTGGGATACGAGGGCCATCATTCTCACGGCCCTGGATTGCGAGGACAGCGCTCAGCTCCACGCGGGCGTCATGCCCGCGGGGTGGCTCAAGGAGGAGTTGCCGACGTGGCTCGAGGAACTGGCGCGCTCACCGACGATTAGCCGCAGGGACGTGAGTTGCCCGCGCCCGCGATGCCCCCACTGCATGACCCGCTCTTGCAAGACCTATCTACACCCGCCAAGTTCGTGCGGTCTAGTTCGCCGTCTCGCGCGGCCGCGGCATGCAGCCCAGCGATGGTGCATGCAGCTTCGGCCCCGGCATGCAGGGAACACGCTAGTCAGGACTCTGTAAGCGATCGGGACTGTGAATTGCCGAATCGCGACGACGACTATGATGCCGACGAGGCTGCACTCGAAGGCAACATATGAATCTGCGAAATAGTTTGCACCACCTAGGAGGCGAGTTCCTATCGAGACGCTGGTTCCTATCGATACGCCGGTTCCTATCGAGGCGAGGTTTCCTGAAGAGGGTGATGGTGCGTGGCCAGTTCACACGCTAATCTGGCAAGTCCCCCGACCCGTGCCGCCTGCTATGCTGCTAGAGCCCCAGGCCGCGCAAGCGTTTTCGCGATCTCACGGAACGTTTCAGCATCCCGTGTTCCGGGAATTCTTTCGAATGGACTAGTATAATAGTTTTTGCTATGCGCAGCGTCGCCAGTATCATGTGAGCCAATGCTGACGTATAAAAAGGAGTCGCTGTCGTCGTCGTCGTCGACGTCGTCGTCGTCGGCGCCGTCGTCGTCGTCGTTGTCGTCCGAAAGAGGCAGCCCACCTCCCCAGGTGCTCTCTCCCTGGCGGCGGTGACGGGAGTTCGGCGGACTGGGGCGGGCATGAGACTCTGCGTCGGTCTCTGGCGGGCCTGCGGGTCTCCGGTCGGAGCGGGGGTTGGGCTCTCAGTGGGCTGGCACCTTGCGTTGGCGGTTTGCTGCGAGCTTCCCCCCCTTCCAGGAGGTCACAGAGGTGGCCCGTGGTGATGCCGTCTGGGTCTTGATGCGGGCCTCGCCCAGCATGTGGCAAGCTGACATCATGACTTGGATGGCGTGCTGGTCACGGCTGGCCGCCTGCAGAATCGGGGACGCGTGCGTGGTTTGGTGTTCAATGCCAGGATCCAGGGGCAAGTCAGGTGTGGGCCTGTCCGAGGGCTGGTGAAGATGGCCCCGATTCGGCTGGTGACGAAAGCTCTCGCAGCGCGCTCGGCGGTCCGTCACCGAGCTTGGCCCCGGGCGTGGCTCCGACGTCCCACCTGCATCGGGGTTTACCTGGGGTCGGTCGCTCCGTTGATCGCCGAGGCCACGAAGCTGGCCTTAGTTTCCGATGTTGCAGCCGCCACACGGCCGTCTCTTCATGCTGGTATTCCTCTTCGCCCATCATCCTCCCTCTTCCCTTCTCCCGCCTCACCGCCCTCTTCATTTCCCCTCCTTCATTATCCCTCTTCTCTCCGGCCTCCTCGCCCTTTCCTTTCCCCCCCTTCCTCCTCCCCCCCTTTCCCATCCCCCCCCACCACCGCTCGCCCCTCACGCCCCTCCAGATTCTCCCACCTCTCCCCCTCCCTCCCCCCCGCTGGCTGGGAGCGCGTGCGCGAGGTGGCTCCAGCATAGGCGTCGGGCAACTGCGGTTTGCATCCGTCGGCTGCCTGATGCTTCACCCCCCTCCCTCCATTTCCCACCCCCCCCCGCACGCTGTGTTTCGCACCCACCCCCCTCCCCAAACCCCGTGCGGTCGTTCGCCCCGCCTGTCCCCCCACTCCCAAGGTACCCGCGCCAGATTGCCCGTCAGCTACCGCTCGCCCCTCCCGCTCGTCCAGTTTTTTGTTTTCCTCCCCCCTTTCCCCCCCCTCCTGTGCGGTTGCCCCTCGCGCCTCCCCCCACCCTTTCCGCTCCGCCAGCTCATGGCAAACAAAGACGGCCGTAGGGGAGGGGGGAGGGGGGCGTGACCCGTACCTCCACCTCACGGCACACATGTGCCACCACCTCAAGCCAGAACAGCCAATTGCCGCCCAACATTTCTATCCTGCCCTTCCCCCCCCTGTGCGGTCGTTTTTCCCACCTGCCCCTCACCCCCGGTCGCCCCACCCATTTTTCCAGTTCCTCCTCCCCCCTCCCTCCCGCCCTCGGCGCGGTTGTCCCTCCCACTGGCCGTCCGCTCCCGCTCGCCCCTCCCGCTCCTGCAGTTGCCCCCGTCCCCCTCCTCTTTCGGGTGTTGCCAGGGGTGCCTCTGGCCCAAGGTGCCCCAAGGATTTTCAAGTAGGCCCCCACAGCCTTCAGAGGCACCCCTCACGAGACCCAGAGCTCCAAAATGGAGCGACAACCTGTGTGCACCTTGGGCAAGGGGTACCTTTAGTAACCCCCGACCCCCACCCTCTGTGCGGTCGCCCCTCCAACTTGCCCACCCGCTCCCGAGGTACCTGCGCCAGATCGCCCGCCAGCTCCGCAGCCGCTCGGGGGAGGCGGGGCGATGGCAGAGGGCGGGGCCAGGCAGGGAGCTCGGACGACCGCAAACGGACAGCGCGGTGCGGGATGTCTTGCCCTCCTCCTTCGTTTCCTGCTTCCCCTTCCACCTCCTCAACCTCCTCCTCTTCTTCCTCCTCCTCCTCCTCTTCCTCTCCCTCCTCTTCTTCCTCCTCCACCTCCTCCTCCTTCTCCTTCTCCTCTCCTTCTGTTCCTCCTCCTCCTCCTCCTCCTCCTCCTCTCTCTCCCTCCTCCT